AGTATCTGATTTTCAATACTGACAACCGTAAATCCAAAACATACTTGAAAAAAAGCTCTTCAGTACTCAAAAATATAAATGAATACAGGAATATAACATCGTAAAGCAACACAATTTAACCTTTTACGAAACAGAATAATACGAACAAACCACTGGAACACATTTCAATATGATGGAATCTATAAATACACTAAACGCCTATGGTAGTTTCTGTTGACCTGCTTTTCAGATACTAAATATTTCATGCACTGAGAGATAATCTGACGCAATATTACAACTACAGTATGACTATGACTCGCGCTGGCGTCGCTCCAGTGTCTTGCATCTTACGTGCAATCGTTCTGTTATTTAAATTTGTCACATTTGCTAAAAGCTAGTTGCTATCCGAACAGGGATGCTGATAACAGACTGGTCCGTTGGCTGTCAGTGTCAGGCCCACGGCACAGTGAGGCCTCAGCTACAGCGATCTGAGCGTGTGCAAATGATAAGTCTATAAATAGCATTGAGCAGGCAGGACAAAAGCTGTTTCCCTTTAAATGAGGCAACGCGATGGTTAAATGTCTGCTCTTTCACAGCACAAAGCATCGCTTCTTAGTATTAAAGGTCCTATATGACACAAAATGAACTGAACGTTGTTACCTCATCACAAACATATCCGGAATTATGTTTTGTTTCATTCATACGTTCATACATACAGCTCTAAATGCTCTCTTCCACCTTGTGATGTCATGTAGTGGTAGTTTTCAAGCTGCCTTTTACATTTTGTTGGGCAATTGTAGAGCTAAAATGATCCAAATGATTCTAGTGAAGGTGTACGGAGTTTAAAAACACAGTGGAGCACGTTCTGTATTATTGCTGAACATGTGTGCATGAAACAAAACACAACTTCTGGTATGTTTTTGATGAGGAACCAACATTATGACAGATCAAAAATAGATAATATATTGCAGTTCTGACAATTTTCTATTTCTGTTTTAATTTAGACTATTAGTTATATATATATTTTTTTGTTTCTGAGTCAGTGGACTAAATACATCTTTTGCTGAGAAAGCATTATGTCATAAATGTTTATCATAGACCATTTAAGTTGAGCTATGTAACTTTTGTTTTGCTTTATCTGGAATGTTCCACACTATGTTGACAATAAACGTATCTATTTCCAGGGAAACAAGCTGGCAGCACCGGGCAAAGTTACAGGGCAAGACTGCAGAGAGGTGACCGCGTTCGCAGTAAGAAAGTAAGAGTTTCCAAGCTGTTTTTGAGCAATAAACTCCTGCAATTGAATAAATGCTAGATAAGTGGTAAATGCTACACTGTGGAACATTCCAGACAAAGCAATAACATAACATAACAACAGGTGCCAAACCTTTCACCAGAAAATTTACGATGCTTTAAAGGTCCTGTTTTACACAAAATATATTCTTGTGAGCTTTAAGCCATGTTAAAATGTTGTTACCGCCTCAAAAGCATACCTGGAGTTGTAATCCTTTATTATTAGTCTGCGTACATCCCCAAAACTAAAAAAGCTGTTCCACCTTGTAATGGTTTTTGAGTTAGTTCAGAAGAGATTCGCCATTCCAGGACTGAAATTCTTCCATTTGAGAAAAGAACTCAGCTTAAATATTCAGGATTTGAGTCTTAAATGTGTGTGAATGAAATAAAACATAACCCCACGTATGTTTGTGAGGATTAAACAACATCATAACATCAGAAAATAGCATAACATAGATCCTTTAAAACAGCTATGAGTGTTTTACGACATTTATTTACAACACTTGCTTTTAGTTCACCAAAGCGCTGGTTAAACCTCGCTAAGACTTGACTATAAAAAGTGCTATAAATTGTGACCTGCTTGTGCATACTGACGAATGCTTACTTAAGATCTTTACAGGGTCGAGATCAACTTTCGCTCCGTGGCCTTGTGTGGGGTCACTCATGCTCCCATGACAGAATCTATGCAGACAGAGCCCTGCAGCACCATAAAACTTAGTGTGGCCTTTGTAATCTTAAATGAGCAACACATGAGCTGAGTTCAATGGCCTGCCACAGTACCTTCAGTGCGTATGTCTGCTCCTGGTGATAAGGGCAAGTACAAGTTGCATAACCGAGACTATAATTACTCCAGGACTGGTCATGAGATTGAGTCCAAACAATAATGTTTCAGAACGGACCAGACAGAATGCACTGGAATATTCTGGGAAACAAATGCCCAATGGGTTCTGAAAAGTGAAAAGCACTTTTTTTTTTTTTTTATCACGGTTTCTTATTTTATTTATTTATTTGATAGGGACAGTGCATATTAGACTTAGAGAAACTTTATTGATCCATGAGGGAAATTATCTGGACACAGAAGCTCACACATCACAATATAATATAATAACAAACTGTAAAAAATATAAATGATAATAATAAATTCTAGTAGTAAGTTAGTAAAAAGAGAGAAAAGTAATTAAAAGATAGCACGAGACTGGTGTCAATGACATTAAAAAAGTAAAAATAAAATAGAAAGTAAATAAAGAAAATATCTCAGCTATATTTAAAATGTGTAAATGTGTCAGATTATTGCAAAAAAAGATCATTTCTATCTGTTATCTCTAGGCAGGTTACACAAAATACAAAACACCAAACAGTTACACTGAGACACACAGAACATTAAAAGGTCAAACCTCTTGCTTATAGGTACATTATTTATTGTAATAACAAGGTTTTATATTACAAATGTAACCATAACATCCATATAACAATATAGCCTTTTGATACTTTGCAGTGGCATCATGTTGGGGGTGTTATACCTGTATCTCTATTGGAGGAATGTTCAACAGTTACCATGGTGACACAATGCACACACTAACAAAAACTGCCCAAAATGTTTTAATGGTCTGAAAACTAAAGAAAAAAAAAAAAAAACAAATGGATTTAAATAACGTTTTCAGGAGCCTGTGATCAATACGAGCGTTCTTTGTAATGATTTTCAATGATGGGATATTTCAATAACATGGTATATGTAGAAAATATACGTTATTTTTTTCTCTTATGAGGTGGGTTACCAAGAAACCATCCATCTATCTGCTCCTGGTACGGTCCATCTGTCAAATTTTAGAACCATTTGTGGCCCACGAGTCAAAAAGTTTGCCTACTTCTGCTCTATACTGATTCCAATACTACAGTGATCATAAAAACACTTTTTCTTATGACAATCTGTGTAATCCCTCAGTCGTCCAGGTAGATTCTGACAGAGCTATTGGAGGAAAGTTCAACAGTTACCATGGTGACACAATGCACACATGAGCAAAACCTGCCCAAAATGTTTTAATGGTCTGAAAACTAAAGAAAAAACACGAATGGATTTAAACAACATGTTTTCAGGAGGCTGTGATCAATACGAGCGTTCATGGTCCTGTTTAGGTGTTTGATTTTCCACAAAAAGGTCAGAGTGACTGAAAAACTGTTGGCTATAGCTTGTGGCAGTTGTTTTGTGCATGAGAAACAAACCAGCTCATGTGTAGTTCCAGCTAAATCAGGTCTTTCTGGTCAGATGTGTTAAAAAAAACTCTGATTAAGTCTAACTTGACTAACATACAAATCGTAAAACCTTACCATATTACATTACTAGGAAACAAAAACAATGTCTGTGGCTTAACAGAAGAATGAATGGGTTTTCCACATAATTCAGTCTCACACCACTGCAAGTCTGATGCACTTATGATTTCCTCACTTCCCATAAGCCACTGCAGCACTGACATCTGGCAGCTGACACCCCAACGTCTTCTGTGACGTTCAAAAGATGCAGGTGAGGGTGCTTTCCTCCTGCCCCGTAAAAAGAATGAAGTTAGCATTTTGTTTAAAGATCCTGTGTTATGCAAAATTAACTCTTTTGGTTATGTTATAATGTTACCTCATCAGAAACATACCCAGAGTTGTGTTTCGTTTCATTCACACAGGTTTGAGTAATCCTGGTTTATTCGTGTGTCTCCATCTCCAAAGCTCAAAATGTTCTGTTCCACCTTGTGATGTCAAGGTAACAGCGCCTTTTACCTTTAGTTCAGTAGGTTTTCCAGGCAATTCCAGGGCTAAAATTATCCAAATGATTTTGGTGAAGGTGTATGGAGTTTAAAAATGCAGTTGAGCACTTCCTGAATTACTATTTCCTGAGCATTTTCTGTTTGAGAGAAGAACTAAGCCTAAACATGGGTTATGTGTTAAACATGTGTGAATGAAACAAAACCTGACTCCAGGGATATTTTTAATGAAGAAGCAACGTTGTACTAATAATATTATGATACAGGCCCATTAAACATGATAACATTTCAAAACATTTATTGCTTTGCTATTGATTATTTCCCCTCTTACATTGGAATTAGATGTAAGTCTATAAACAAAATTTGGCTACTCACCTTGGTTGACCTTTGGAAATTATCATTAGGTGTTATAAAATAAACACTAAATGCTAAAGCTCTAACTATAGCAGACTGTTTATGCAGCCTGCTAAATATAACCTAGACCAGGAAAAAGTGGGTGAAGTTTGCATGTGTCATTTTAACAGATAGCTGGGGCTGAAGCTGGTTTCCCCATTATAGACTTTAGTCAAAAAGGTGCCTAATTTAATTTGCCTATTTTAGCATTCCTACTTGACAGTTGTCTATAAACACATAACAGTCCACTCCACGCTCTACATCCCCTGAGTCTACTTTTGGTGCTTTTCAAATTGGTCAACCAAAACAACATCCCAAGTTCAACTACGAAGCACGCCCAAGATTTCTCAGGACCAATGAAAGGAGCCAGTCTGCGCATCACACCAATATGTGCAGCCGGGGGATGGTGCTTATGACTGTTGCTAGGGCATGTCCTCGATGACTCTCACGCCTCTCAGCCAATGGTATCGAAGCTCACCCTTTACTCACTCCTGATTGGCTGAGGTGCAGCGCAAATCCCGCCTTTCAATTTACACATTGGTCGGACGTGCAGTCACTCACGTCCCATAGTTTTAGTTAGGTGCTGTTGATACTGTAGTTTGGAGTCGACAAGACTCAGAGCAGAATATAGGTTAGCAGCAGACCAACAGCTCTCTCTAAGGCTGTTTTGATCCCATTCCATTCTTTTATTACCTGTACATTTGTGTAAATAGACTATTTCTATTTTTATATCGCGGCACCATGATGGAATTTAACTCTCTTTTAATTCTGCTGGAGGCTGCAGAGTACTTGGAAAGAAGAGACAGAGGTATTTCATGTCAAATTGATCAGTCAGGGGATAAGTAGCCGGCTCTTGTGGTGATCGGATAGAAAGGCTTATTAAAACACAGTTTTTATCATCAATAAAGTTTGCCATGGTGCAGGTATGATGTCACTTTAAAGACAATGGGACATAGAACAAGCGATGGGGCAAACTGCATCGAGCAGAACAACACCACTGAGAAATGTGCCTTATTTTATATATTTATCGCGTGTCATTTTGAAACGACTAATTATGACTAATAGTTAGATTTAGGACATGTGTTAGATATGGTTTGATGGTCGTATTTTTCTATCAGACGTTTGAAAGTGACTATTTACGAGTGACATTGAACAAGCTTACGTCGCGTTGTCACACAGCTTGCTCTTAGCTTGTGTTTTTATATTTTATGATGTAAATAGTCGTGCACGAATCATTTGCTTAGTTCAAAACTGTATTTTAATGACACACGGACATTCACGAAGACGTGTGTCGTTTCGTTGCCTGCTGTCAAGATAATAATGGACTAAGTTAACCCCGCTTTTATTCTCACTCCACAGAGGCAGAACACGGCTATGCATCTGTATTACCATTCAGTAGCGACTTCTCCAGGAAGAAAACGAAACCCTCGCCAATTACCAGAAAAGCTCAGAACAATAGGTAAATGCAACTTTTATTTATATTGCCGTAAAGCTTGCATGTGATGCCGGTGCAAAGTGGGTTAGAGATGGAAGCTGCTTTCGTATACTTATGCCACCTCTCGCTGCTAATGCTCTTCTGTGCTGGGCTTGGCTTTCTGTTTTGGTCCCTCCAATAAACACTGCCACGCGTACACTGTCAACTCTGCTGCCTCCACTCCCACTCCGGTTCTCACGCACACCTCCTCCTCCAGCAGCAGCAGCAGCAGCAGCACAACCCGGAGCATGCATGCAGTCTGCCGCTACAGCCAATCTCTCACCAACACTCTCACCTCTGCAAAAGACCTGAATACACCACTGTGGTTGGCACGCTTTTGCGTGGTAAATCAGGGGGTCTCAAGTTGATAACCACAGGGCCATGTTTTTCACACTGGCGGTCCAGAAGCAAATCAGATCAACAAAAGTCATGATGTTAACTTTTGCTTGCACTGTCATTGTTACCCATAAAATGCCAAAGGAGAAGTGGGCGCTATTTTTGACTGTATATTGTTAGTAATAGTAAGTGTCCCAGTTCTGCTGTGCAAAAACATTGCTATGAAATGCAGTCTGCCTGTAGCTAAACGTTTACTAGTATTGGTTTGTTTGTCAGACTGTGATCTGTTGGTTTTGTCAACTAGTCTCCACTTTAACTCTGGGCAAAGCAAAATGCAAAGCTTGCAAAACACATATTTCCCTGTTAGTACTCTAAATTGCCAGCAAATGGCAAAAGCGATGCTGACTACAAACCTGTCAGCCACTAACTTCTCATTTACAACGCAGTTTCAGTTTCACTTGTGTTACTTCTGACTCAGTAGATATTATTTAAAGGTGATTTCACTGATATCTATTGCGTGACTTCGTTAAAAATGTAGGGAATGCATTGCTTATTTGGGACTTTGCACATCCCATCTGGAAGAACTAACTCCAGTCTTGACATCATCGGATGCTTGGATGGGGGGGTTGCCTTTGGGTGCTGCACGTCAATGTAGGTCACTATAGTGGGTGTAAGTTAACTAAAAACAATGATTATTAACTTCGTACGAAACCTTTTGTTACATTTTGCTCACAATTTGCGTCAGAGAGAAATACCCCAGCTTTGAAAGATGTTTAAGTGTGACCCCGTTTTCCCCAGAGCTTTGCCACTACATGAACACCGGCTTTAGTCCTTTTGTTTCGCTGCAGTAATTACAGGCTCAAAAATGTTATATGAAAGAGCCAGTGTAATTGTATGTGTTTGTCTTGTCAGAAAACAGAGGTTGTAAAATTCCTCGAGACAAGCGAGTGGATGGGGGAGGGGGCTGGCTGGGGCATGGGGGATGTGGCAGGTGGGTGTGGTGCCTAGACCATGACAAACACCAGCCCAAACTTAGACCCATTCAACAAACTCACTTTTTTCCACCTTATTTTGACATTTTCCAACTATGCAAATCTCTAATTCCTTACACTGCCACCTCAATCCACCTCATTTTGGTCCTTGGAATCAACAGGATGCTAGGGGGCATTTAAGTAAAACGTGTTTGATCTTGTAGACGTATTTTTAGCCAGCTGGAGTGTTAAGGACAATGCAGTAGCACAGTCAAAACCTGCTCTTTTGAGACTAAATAGAATGTTTACCTATGACGTGGGTATACATAAAAAAAAAAAAAAGAAACCGCACGATATAATTTCCTTGTCTACTTGTGATTTACTATCTTGAATCATGAATATTCTTGTTTAGGCGTTCACCACATCTATAAGTAAGAGGTTAAAAAGTAATAAAAACTTACGGTGATAAAGTTTCCACGAAGTCACGTTTAATGGCGGTGGCTTGATTAGTGCATGGGACACTACCCTCTCTCTTACATAACATTCAGGTGCGTGCCAACCTGCTGACACTACAGGTTTATTGATGGTACCTTTCCATGTAATATCCCGTCACATTTCCTGGTTTACTGCTTTTATTTCCCCATGAGAAATGACTAACACATACTTAGAATAATTTTTTGCAGTTGTTTCCACAGCTTTAGTAATGCCAATGTGGTTGGTATAATCAAATTTTTGGTAAAAAGAAAAAAAAAAAAAGAAAAAGATGTTTTCTTTTCGATATAGAATGGCTTTGTTTTTTAAGAAGTGACAACTAAAAAACCCTGCAGTAACTGTTTTGTTGTTCACAATATATTGCAATATAATAATGTTGTGTATTAATAATATTAAAACGTGTGAGATAAAGAGGACATACCTAATTTACTTCATGAAATAAAGTAGAGTTTGTATCACAAAAGTAGATTGTAAAAGCAGCTCTTAGGCTCAAAATAAGACCATGGTGTGTTGTCTTCATCTAGAATTTTTTTATTGGACGTGGATCAAGAAGTGGCTCTCTGTTAGCACACTAGTTGTTGTTCACAGTGGTGTGACGGCCCCTCAAAGTGGTGAAATGTAAATAAACGAATACAAATGTAAATGGGGATGCTATAAATGCGTTAACAAGGACTAGTTTTGCACGTTGCAGACATTTTAAAATGAGCGACTTCTGTTTTTCAGACAGTAAAAATCAGGTACATTGCCTTTAATTAGCAGCATTAACTTAACTACCAACAGTACGTGTTGCTCGAAGGACTCATTTTAGGCTCTCTTCTGATCTATGTTATAGTTCTGTTTCTTCATCAAAACCATACCTGGAGTTGTGTTTGGTTTTCATTCTTGTTTAACACTCAAACCCTGCATATTTAGGTTGAGCTCTGTTCTCAAACTGAAAAAACATTGTGATGTCATGTGGTAATACAGGAAGCACTCCACTGTGTTTTTAAACTCCATACACTAGACTAATCTGGATTGTTTCAGCCCTGGAATTGCCCTTCTCTACTCACCAAAAGGTAAAAATTTGCTGGTAACTTAAAAACTATCACTACATGACATCACAACGTGGAACAGAGCATTTTGAGCTCTGGAAATACAAACAGACTAATAAGAAAGGATTACCCAAACACGTGCGAATGAAACAAAACACAACTCCGGGTATGTTTCTGATGATGTAACAACATTATAACGCAGATAAACGCTCACGAGGATCAGTTTTGCACAATAGAAGACCTTTAAAAATAAAAAAGGCGTGAACGTAAGATCATGTTTGGCGTTGGATGTCAGTAATCCAGTTATTCTACCTGCGTGTAAAGTAAACCTCAGCTACCACAGATTGCAGTAACCCCGGAGCATGATAGTCAAGTGCAGTAGCCGGCCTTGTCATACACAGCTGTGGGAACTACTGCTGGGGCCAAACACAAGGACCCTCAAACCAGCGGAAAATGTGAAAAGGCTTGTTGTCCGCCTGGGCTTTTGTTGTTCCTGTTTTTGTTTTTATTGCCTCGGTGGTATCCATGACGGTCCCATGAACAGAGGGCCAGTGTCAGATGGACTGCTGTGCCCTCCCATCATAATAGGGCTCTCCTTGGAATAGCCCACACGCTGAGGAATTCTGCAGCGTCTCAGGCCTCCAGACGTTTTTTTTTATCTGCTCCCTCAGCTCAGGCCAGCGCGTACACACCACCGCTGCACTGTAAAAAGCAATATCTAGCCAAGTTAAAATGACTTCAGTTAAGAATATTTGACTTTATTTGACGAGGCATGTAACAATAACAGAAATATCATGAGATTGTGTCGTCAAAACTCTTACAATAATATCATGGGCCATCACAATATATTGAATGAATATTGAAATGAATAGTTTTGGTGCAGCAGCAACTAAAAAAAAAAAACAGAACTATATAGACTAGGGATCTCCAAGCTTTTGCATCTAGTCAGCTACCTTTACAAAATGAAAATGCTGGAGAGCTACTCATTTTTAGCAATCGCAAGAAATTGAGTGGATATAAGAGGATAAGATTTAGATGTTCTACAGTTAGATTTAAAAACATAAAACCACTATCCATTTATTAGGGCACAAAGTTCAAAAGAACACATTTACAATGGTAAATAATCAAATTTGAGTTATTCAGTATAATACGTAATTCAGAAATCCTTTGGCGAGCTACTTATAACGGGATGGAGAACTACTGTTAGGTCCTGAGTTACAAGTTTGAGACCCCTGGTATAGACCATGATCCTTTGCTCTGTTTCAGTGCAGACTACATGAAGAAATAGCAGTTATTAAGCACTTTTAAGCACGTTTAGTTCTTTAGGTTATGACAGAGCCAAAGGCTTGTAAAGGCATTTTAAACAGAAAACGTAGCATATGCATAATTTCGTTAGTCTTCACAAAATATCACAATAAGTATTGCACAATGAGACGCATATCGTGAAATTATCGTACCGAGAGATTTGGAAATTGTTACATTTGAGTAGATTCAACTTAAGTAAGATGATCTACCAATGGAATAAGTGTGTTTTTCTTAATTCAAGCAACATTAGACTTTGTGCAAGAGTAGTTTTTTTAAGTGTAGCAAAGATGTATTTTCATATTTTAAGTCCAAAAGTTGTGTTCCAGTGGTAGATCGTTTTACTTGTTAAGTGAAATTTACTCAAATCCTGATAAAAACCTTCTTAATTCAAGTCATCTTAACTTGGCTAGATTTTAGTTTTTACAGTGTGCGTCTCTCCGGGTTGTTTATGTCTATGGGGAGCAGCCAGTAGAGGAGGGGAGGCTAGTGCATGGACTGTCAGCCACTGGGACTCTTTGGCCCAGGCTCCAGCCGCACTCACTCACTCTCTGACCGTTTAAAAGCTTGGCCGGTTAGACCCCATTCACTTGTTAAGTATAAAATGGGGCTCCTATCTGTTCCATTGATGACTGCTTTCCTTGGACGCGTTTGAGCATTCATCTAGAATGCAAGCAGGCTTTGTGAATGGTTTTCAAAGTGCATCGATTCAAAGTGTTGACTGGGAGCTACAAATTTTCCAATTGTCTCAAATTGCACGAGCAGAATGGTTTATTCTCCCGCGATTTACAATGTAGTACTTCAACTGAAATATGGGAACGCCAATAGTGCTTTTCTTGATATTTCCAAATTGTAGTTCTGTTTGGTGCAATTGGGATTATAAGTGTGGCTATTTCCCTAACCATAGACTGTGAAGAAGTGGACTAAAGGAGTGTGATTTCAACCAGTCCAGTCAAATGAAGCTCACAAGGCTAGCCGTTATAGGAGTTTTTGGCACCGAATTGAAAAAAAACTAAATCTAGCCAAGTTAAGAGGACTTGAATTAAGAAAGTTTCATCATGATTTCAGTACATTTCACTTGACAAATAAAACTATCTACCAGTGGAACCAGACTTGTGTAGTTAAAATATGAAAATACATCTTGCTACACTTAAAATAAGCAAAACGACAACTTTTTGCAATTAAAATAAGAAACAAAATCAAGAAAAACACACTTATTCCATTGGTAGATAATTTTACTAGTTGAATCTACTCAAATAAAGTAAAATGTTCTTAATTTAAGTCATTTCAATTTAGCTAGATGTTGTTTTTTGCCAGAGTAAGAATTTATTAATGGACAAAATATCAAAATATAAACACCAGGATCGTGTAGAGCGGGTTAATATGAACGTTTTAGACCGAAATGACGAGGCACACTGCAGCAAATTCAGAGAAAAACATGACATTTCTTCAAAGTAAAGTCAATTGGAATCGTTGATGGAGCCGGAAGAGGCCCCATACTCACTTCCTGTTTGGAACATGGTGGCTCACGGTCCATTTATATACTGTCTATGCTCCTGATCCCAACACCGTCACAATTTCAGTTGTGGCTCGCCAAAGGACAGTGGCTGGGAGCAGGATTTATACTTCCGAACACTGAGTTACTAGTATGTCTGTACCAAATGTGCATGGGCATCTGTAGCGGTCACAAGTACTTTGATTCATTTATAGATCTGAGCAACACACTATATTAAACCTGAGTCAATGGAATTCTAACCTTCCATTTTCCCAGACGGTTAATTCCCAGATACTTGCTCCAGCTCCTCTGGTGAATCCCAAGAGGTTCCTACTATCTTAGCCAAGAGACATCAGTTTCAAGTTAGGACGTCAACGTTCTACTTCTGTAAACAGAATTCAACTCTTGCATAAGCTCTGACCTAGAATCTGAACAAATGTTGGAGAAAGGGGAAATAAGGTGAAAAACTAGAATATGCTTGCAAAAATATTCTAAAAATGTTAAATGGCTGGTTTGGACACTGTTCCTCATACTTTGGGCTGTAGGGCTGTAGTTGACTAAAGAAATTCTTGGTTGACTAAAGACATGTTCTTCAAATCGATTAGCTGTGACAAAAGCTCTCAAATCTATTACATATCTGCACTCACAAGACTTCACCTGCACAGGAATTAATGCAAAAACACTATTTAGGCAGAAGAAAGTGCTTAGAAACTATGTAAAAAAGGACAGATTATACTTGTGAATCTTGAGTTTGTTCTGACTTTTTACAGCAATACATAATCTTTTGCTAACTCACTCACTTCTCTTGCCCCATATAAATCCGTAAAATCTAACAAAAATCATTAGTCAACAGATATTTTGGTCGACCGAGACAACATCAGCATGATTCAATGACTAAATGATTAAAGACGTACAGCCCTACTTTACTAAAACTACTTTGGAAGGACAGTTGTCACAATATGGTCCATTTGAAAACCATCATCGCTATTTGACCCTATATATATTTTTTAAAACTATATTTTTGCACTCTTATTATAAAACATGTATTTTGGGGATGAGCGCTTAAGCTTCTAAAAGTGCATGCCCTAATCCCACTGCAAACACTGCCCTTCAGCGACCAATGAATACAAACTAGATAAGGCCTGTCTTGCAGCATTATAGTCACCAACTGCTTTGATCTTTTGACACATTTTCCTCCTTTAAATCCTATTCTGCTTTCAGATGTCTACTTCCACCCGGGTTTAGCAATTCGACACATGCTCTAACCTTCATGTCATTGCAATTTGACATGGCTATATTTTATGACATTTTTTCGTTTTTCTTTTGCAGATCGTCACACAACGAGCTGGAAAAACACAGGTAAGGTGACAGCTGACGCGCTCTGATCTCTCCCATCTTTCATATTTTGTCATATTAGTATGCGACTCCTGGGCCAGCCTCTGCGCATTCCTCACATAGCCAAGAGGAGGTTGGCTGCAGGTGAGCCACACATATTTTGGCTCGTGGTAAAAAAGAGTTGGAGATCACATCGCGGGTCAGCTTCAAAGGACTTCACTCTCTTGTCTGGAAATAAGATTCTAGATTAGGTCTGTCTGCAAGTCATGGTTGAAGCTAACAAAGTAAAGAGAAAGAGGTGGGGTCTAATAGGCCTAATAAGCCTCACCTGTAGGGATGCACTGATCTGACTGGTATCAGATATCGGAGCTGATACTGAAAAGGTTTTGGCAATATCCTGGTCATGTACTAAATGATTATGGTCACATTTTTATAACCTTCGAATCACTCAAAGCGCTTTTACATCAAGGAATCACTCACCCATTCACACACATATTCATACACCATTGTCCGCAGACACTGGGAGCGAGATGGGTTAAGTGTCTTGCCCAAGGACACAATGGCAGCATTCATCTATGGGAGCAGGAATCGTACACCAACCTGTGGGTCAGTGGATGCGACCGCTCTACCAATGATTCTTCTTGCCATTTGTAGTTACAATTAGTTGATTTAAGATTATTTAGGGAGGTAATAATCACAGAAATATCGTGATATTGTATTGCCAAAAGTCTAATATAGTAATATCCTTGGCGAAAATATCAAAATTACAAGTTTCATCGCAGAAGAAGAACTGCATAGACCATGATCCTTTGCTCTGTTTCAGTGAAGACTACATGGAGAAATAGCTGTTATTAACACTTTTAAATTTGAGCTCTTTGGATTATGACAGAACCAAAGGCACTGTGAAAGCATTTTAAAAAGAAAAAGTAGCATAGTCACCATTTTATTGGCCTCCACAAAATATCACAATAAACACTGCATCGCGAAATTATCACGTTGAGAGATTTGGATATCGTTATATCCCTATATTTGCGTAGATTCAACTTGACAAGTAAAATGATTCTTTTTACCGTTTGTAGTTGGCCCAGGAAAGTCTCATTATGTTTGAACTTTGATTTACACAAAGCTGTCCTGTGGTTACTTGCTTTATAACATTAAGATGAGTTTTGTCTTGTCTTATTTTATTTTCGCTTAAAGGAAAGTATTGCTATTTTCAGTCTATGCGCTGGTATCGGTTAAAATTGGCAGATATTTAAAGCTTTAGTATCGGAATTGGTCTCAGAACTGAAAAAGATGGATTGGTGCATCTCTAGTAATAATAGTATTTACTGGTTGTAATTGGCCTTGAAAGTTTCATAATGTTTGAACTTTGATTTACACCAAGCTGTAGTTCCTTCTGTAGATTAACAACATCTACATAAAACCTTTGGAGCAGGTTTGTCCTATTTTATTTTCAGTCTCTGCACAGTTGACATCAGGTAGTGGCAGACACTTGAAGCTAAATAAAAGCTGGTGGATCCCTTCATTATTTGCAATGTACCATAAGTATCAAGTTTTGAAATAATTATCCATTTGTTGTTTCAGTTTGACTTGAGCTTGAAAATATTACAAGTCTGAGATAGTTTGGATCAAGTCATTCTGTAATCTAGTCTATTTTTTTTAGGAAAAGTTTTACAGTGGGGTTTTAACGTTCAGCATTTTCAAAATTTGCCTATCTTGACGAACAAATTATGTCTATTTTGTATCATATTGTATTTGAGTAAACATTAAGAATATAGGTTTGGTTCAGTTACTTTTCCTAATCAAAAAGACTGAAATTGTTGAAAGCTTTGAGCACAGTTTTTGGATATTTTTAAAACAAACTCTGTGTATTTTGTCACTGAGCAAACCTTTAAATCAGGGCAGGGGTCTCCAACCTTTTTCCTCTGGTGAGCTACCTTTATGAAACGAAAATGCCAGAGAGCTACTAATTTTAGCGGGCACAAGAAATTGAGAAAGTGTAAGAGCCATGGCAAACCTTAGACAGGGTACAGTTAGCTGCTTATTAAACGTAAAAAATTATCCATTTATTAGTGCACAAGTTAGACATCAAATTGTAATTCATCAGACTTTAATTATTAAGCGCACTGCATATAATTAAAAAATCCTTTGGCGAGCTATTTGGAATGGGGTGGAAAGCTGCTGGTTTCCTCCAATTACTTTCCTAATCAAAAAGAGAGCCTTCCTTTGCAAAGTTTACATGGGAAAACATATGGTGAACCTCATTAGCAAAAATGTTGTAATATGTTGAAAGCTTTGAGCACATTTCTTGGACAGTTCCCACCCAAAGTCATGATTCTGTAAGTTACTCTTGTGGTTTGACTAATGGTTACCACAGAGCACTTGGGAAACAGCTGATGTGACTGAGGGCAGGTTTTGTGCATTAGTACGTGACGCTCAGACAGTCAGCGGTGGGGAGGCTTGGTCTTTTGTATAGTCACATGTCTCTAGGAGTGAGTAATGCCTATGAGTAGAGGGACATGCAGAGACATATTCCCAGCTACAGGTGTCGACACAGGGTTTACCCCATATCCGGTGGCAGGTGAGGGGTGGCATGTCGCGGGTGACTGGTGATGGGTGTGGTCAGGTTGTGACGTCGCGAAGCTCGTCGAGGTGACTTGAAAATGCCCGGAAAGTTCCACAGTGTCTTCATTCACTTCCTTCACCGTTATTATTGCGCATGACTACATCTTCCTCCGTTTTTTCCCCGTAAATCTACATCATGTTATTACTAGTATTACTAAATTAGTCAGAAACCAGACATCACACTATACGCAATAACGCCTACTTATTGCGTAGATTTTTTTGCTTGGAAAAATACAATGACGAGACAACTGGGGTTTAAATTCACATGTTTAACACACAAATCTTGCATATTTAGGCAGATTTCTTCTCTCGGTACAGGAAGGTAATACAAGAAGCTCTCCACTGTGTTTTTAAACTTTCGACTACTTTTAAAACTTTTAAATACCTAGAATTATTTGGATAATTTCAGCTCTGGAATTGCCAGTCTCTACTGAAAAAAAGGTAAAAGGCTGTAGCTGTTGACTTGAAAGCTACCACTACATGACATCACAGGGTGGAACAGAGCATTTTGAGTTTTAGAGATGTAAACAGACTAATAATAATAAATGATGTGTGAATGAAACAGCACAACTCCAGTTTTTGAAGAGATAACAACATGACGAAAAGTTCAAGACAAAAGTTCACAAGAGTTCATTTTGTATAGTACCAGACCGCAAAAGCACAACCCCCCCCCCCCCCCCCCCCTTCACACACCGCGTGGACCAAACCAGGTCTAAACCAGGACTAAACCAGGACTAAAACAGGACTAAAACAGGTCTAAAACAGGCCTAAAACCAGGACTAAAACAGGACTAAACCAGGACTAAAAAAGGAGTAACCCAGGACTAAACCAGGTCTAAAACCAGGACTAAACCGGGACTAAAACAGGACTAAACCAGGACTAAAACAGGTCTAAAACAGGTCTAAAACAGGCCTAAAACCAGAACTAAAACAGGACTAAACCAGGACTAAACCAGGTCTAAACCAGGTCTAAACCAGGTCTAACACAGGTCTAAAACAGGTCTAAAACAGGGTCTAAAACAGGATTTAGTCAGGACTTAACCATGCCGTGTGAACCGCCTCCTCCCAACCCCCTCTCGTCTGCGAAATATTGTCTGATATAAAACCGGTCCATGGTGCAAAAAAAGGTTGGGGACCACTATAATCTAGGACCTTTAAAGTTACCATCCTTAAGGTTATTTGATTTAAAAAGTAGATTTCAGATGTCAAAACTGTTCCCCTCCTCACCTGGTGTTCTTAAAAACTTAAAGCTTGCACACTTTTAGACAGCAGTAACATAGGCAGCATCTAGTGGTGGTGTGTGAGAATACAACAGAGCTGGTTCAGCCAATGTTCTAAAAATGTTCCTGTTATTTCTTCTTCTCTCATTTAAGCCCCGGGCAATTCTGATAATAAACCCGTCAGCATTTATGTGTCATGTGTGAATAGTTTTCGGTAATTGAGATCATCACATGTAAATAAAAGTTTCCGCAGTCCTCGTTTGTGGATTTGCGCTGTTGCTAGACGCCATTAAAATGTCCTGCTCTATTCATTTTAATGGCTACTTTTTTTATAATTATAGTTTCTGCTGTATAGTTATTATTATAATCCTCGGCTAACCACTGTATCCTGATTAAATCCCTGTCTGGACCTGTGGTGGGAAATTACATGGTCATTACACAGACATCCAGGTGTTGTGCCCGAAACTGTCACATCAGACTACAGCGTCACGTAGGTTTGTCATCATAATTACTATTTCGACTATTGTTCAATATATGAAAGCAATAATATATTTTGGGGCTTAATATTTATTTTGTCTACACTTTCTTTGGAATAGCGGGTAGACTTTTGACATTTTTATGTAAGAAAGTATAAGAATAAGTGTAAGAATAAATAACTTTTATCTCTGTAACCCATGTCCCCCATTTAATGATGCAGTATATTTAAACATCAATTTAGACTTTATTGATCTACAAAGGAAATAATATGGACACAGTAGCTCACACACCACAATATATTTGATCAACAAAGAGCAAAAATATAAATGGTAGTAATACATTTAAATAAGTAGCAAAGATAACAAGAGACCGGTGTCAAATAAGGCATAACTATATTTATATAAACAAGTACACATAAAATATATAAATATAATAATGTTACTGGGATTATTTTGCTTTGTTTAAGCGGTATAAAGTAGTTTCAGTGTCATGAATCACAGTAACAATATATGGTGTTTCAGAATTTGTGATCGTGAGAGGCCCAGCGTCACCTCATCATATCTTATCTCAAATGTGTCATACCTAAATCAAGCTTTATCAGTACGGAAATACAGTACAGTACAGTACAGTACAGTACAGTGTCAGACAGTTTCGAGTCATTTGATTATCCACTGAAATAAAAACAAAAACAAACAAAAAAAAG